GAAAAAAGAAATGGGAATAATTCGTCTAAGCCAGGTTTGTCCAATCTTGGCAACTTTAAGACTTATGGACTTGAAAATGATGTTATCCTTCAGTGTGTCTGACTCTTGGCGGTTCTATTGGACAGGTCTCTCCATATCCTCAATCTTGCACTGTTGTGGACTTCAACTCCCAGAATTCCCTAGCCAGCCATATTGAAGTCCACAGGTCTTAAAGTTGCTAAAGTTGGACACTCCTGTTCTAAATCCAGAGCAGGGCAATACTTTTTGTAGAGTAATGTCAGAGAAAATGCCCCAAAAGGTGGATTCATGCTATTGAATTACCTGGAGGATTTAAAAGCTTGCAAGTTTTTGTAGAATCTAGTTGGACTGCTAAATATAGCCCTCCATGGATTGTTGATTCGTTTACTGAGAGTGTTTTAATTAATTTTCAATATCTGCTGTTTAATTTCTAGCTTCAAATCTTGATGCCAAAATTAAAGGAGAAAAGTAGCTGTACGTTAATCATTTGTGTTTCCTTAACTAAACATATTAGCTAATGATATTAGTTTATCAGTTTATTGAAACTGATCATTTCTAGATTTAATCTGTTATTTTTATGTAAAAATCCACACTTGTATTTGTCTTTATTTTTACAGGCTAAGTTGCAAAACAAAGAAGATCCCTATGATATTCCTAAGAATTACGAACCCAGAACAAACAGCCCTAATGCAGCTAGTATTGAAAATTTGGGAGGACCAACTAAAGTAGCTCCTCCCCCTATAGCCACAAAACCAAACTTTGGCCGGCCTGTATTGAAGTCTTCTCAACCAGTCATTCAACCTTCTGAAATGGAAGAAAAAGTAGAAGTTGTAGAAGAGAACACACCAAAATCTGTGCTGGGGAAAGTTAAAATTTTCGAGAAAATGGATCACAAGGCCAGACTACAAAGAATGCAAGAACTGCAAGAAGCACAGAATGCCAGGGTATAAAATAATGATTCTGTTGGTCTTGTGCAAATGTTTTATTTACGATAGTAAGAAAACTAGTGATACAGAATCAAATTAATAAAAAAATATAATTCAAACAACAGTTTGGAGATACAGCGGATACTATTTTTGAAAGCTTTTTCAGAGCAGTTTGGAATGGAGTGCTAGAACTGCCAAAGAAGAAAAATTGTAGAAAAATATTATTCCTTCTAGCACAATAGTCTCCATTAATTTTCATGTCATGCAGAGAGCCATTTTATATCCAAATCTCTAGGTCTGGATATTTTTACATATTTTGTAAATAATCTGACAAGTCTGTAAAGTAAATGGATCGTCTTGTTCTTGAAGGGAAAATTGCTATCAAAGAATAATTTATAGTTTGAGGAAAATATGGAAATATTTTACCTGCTTTTTTAAAGGTGGAAATAGCACAAAAACACCCAGACATTTATGCAGTCCCAATGAAAACACAGAAGCCAGAACACAACCGTCCCCAGATTTCCAGGTAAAACTGAATTAATTTGCCTATTTTTTTATACTTCTGTGGCTTTGAATATGTTTAACATGCTTACTCAGCATCATAATTTTTTTTAGAACAGAGGTCCACAAGTAAGTTGGAAGTTGATAGCTCTCCAGATGGTGTAGTACAGTTAATTATCTTTTTTCACACTTTTTTACTTCACTGTGCCTTCCATTCAATCTGCAGGCAACATGAATCTCTTGAACCCAGGATTTTTCTGGTAATCAGATTGCTATATAAATGTGTGTATAGTTAATAAATATAGATGTATACCCCTGATTATAATAATTATCTTTTCCAACTCTGTTGCCAACAAAGGAGCTTGTTCCTTTTCACATTTTATATGTAGAAATACACTCCTGACCATTTGCAGCCCAATTTTCTTCTGTAAGAATTTTATTCATAAACCACCCTTTGTTCTCTTCACTTATCCTGTACTAAAACACTGACCCAATTAAATATATGCTGCCTTTCCCACTTCCCTCAGAGAGCTTTTCTCTGTTACACTGTAATTGGATCTTTCCTTATTAAATTTGATTGTCAAATTATTGAGTTATTGGAGAAGTAACTGGCAGATTAACAGTAAATATTTGGTACTTTGGGTAGAAAATCTCATTTTTCTCTGATTTTTAAGGAATGTCATATCCAAAAAAATTCTGACTTAATTCATTATAATTATGGCAACCTCGTGGAGTGGAAGAAAGCTGCAGAACATTATTGAAAGTAGCTTTTCTCTTTCCCATTTTACTATAGTTTTCTTTTAATCAACTTTTGCAAAATGAGCAGTGAAAGAATATTGTCAGAGAGCTTAAATGGATAGAGTGCATAACATGTTCACTTTGTTGCCCCTTAAATATGTCCCATTCAAAACAATCAAAATTAGAAGCTTTTTGTAGTTTAGTTTTGCCCACATTCTCACAGGATCAATTATCCTATGCTAGCTTAGCCTAATTTCAGGCTAGCCTTACTAATGAGGAAGACAAAACAACTCCCTTCAAGTATAAGACAATTTTGAAATAGCGGTGATTTGGCAGGAACTTTGTTTCAAATGGGTTGTTGATGGCCTAACAATATTAATAAAAGCAAACTTTTTTTTACTTTAACTTAAACTGGTAACAAGTCTATTCCTGCTTGGTCTCTGTGTTAACTTGCTCAAAATAACTTTGTATATGTTGATTTTAGTTCCAGACCTCCCGAGCCTCAGAAGCCGGCTGTTAGATCTTACCTAGATAATCCAGGAGTTTACGGCAGTGATGCAGAGGAGGAAGATTATCGGAGGCAGCTATCTGATCAGTCCAAGCGTGGATACTATGGGCAGCCATCTCGATACAGAGATACAGAATTATAAAATTATTAGCAGTCAAGCCATTGTTCTGGGACACACTTGCACATCAAAAGCTCTGATTCTTTTTAACAAGTATATGTATATTTGGGGTTATTAGTGAACTTGACAGGTGTCTTGCTCACTAGAATGGCGCAGTATCATTTAAGTATTGAAGGGATTTGGATCATGGTTGCCTATTTTACAAAAGGACCAAAATATTTATAAAGTTGGTATTAATTTCTGGCATCTATAAAATTTTAACTTGGAATTCTTTTCCTCACTGAAATTGCCTTTTTAATATTCTCTTAACTGTTGGGCCTAATGGAAGCGTGATGAAAACCACAATGCTTTACTGCAAGAAAAAAAGTGCCTTTCAAACAAAAAGTGTCTTCAGCTGTTCACTTAACACAGGGGTCTCTAACCTTGGCAACTTTAAGCCTGGCGGAAGTCCGCCAGGCTTAAAGTTGCCAAGGTTGGAGACCCCTGTTTTAACATCTGATACTTGTGCAAAGCCATGAAATTTCTACTGCTTTTAACTTTTGTATGTTTCATACCTCCCATTTTCCCCTTGGATGTTATTTTTCTACTTTAAATAGAACTGTACACTATTTTCAAATGCAATGACTGTATATATGAAACTGTTTTCTAGGCTGGCTGCCATATGGCTAGGGAGTGCCAAGATTAAGGAAATTATGTAGAAAATAAATGAGTCTTTGGATTTTAAAACTTTACATCACTCGTGAAATAAAAAAGATTATATTTACAGGCAATTATGATTCCATTTTTGTCTTTATATCTTTTTAAAATCATGCCCGGAGGCAAATAATTTCATTCACTTTAGGTTGTTGCATATTGTGCAGTACTTTGCAGGACTATTATTTATTCAAAGGAGATCTAGAATAGTGGGGGCGGGGGGGGAGAGGAATAAATCTTACCTCAACACTTGTATCCACACACCATGAAAGTAGAAGAGGCTGGATGGTTACAATAGACATTCTTGTGGTATACCAATCCTGTCCTTGTTCACTGGCTCCTGAAAGTTTCAGGCCTGAATGTGACTTCCCTAATTCTGAATAATTTTTTTGGAGCCAACTGTGTATTCCGTGTTAAAGAATTAGTATAATACAATTTAAATCTTCAACTACTAAGCCACCATCCTCTTTCAAGTCCTGTAGAATCTTGAATTCAAAACTTGAACTTTTATTAAATTTATCTGGAGTCCATTACTTGTTTATGCCAATCACTTTATATCTTTATAATATGTATTACAACCATTTGAAAAAGAAAATGTTCAATATAGTGGCTGCAATACTACCTAGCCAAGATAAATTTAGTTTTTTCCATACTCCTTCCAAATTTTCTAACTTGGAAGTTACGGATTTTAAACAAATCCCTACTTTGTTTTGGTGTGTAAATTCCTGTGGCTACTTCACCTTTTTTACAGTCAAGTTAAAAGCAAATGCTAAATACTGCAGAGGTATTACTTTTCTTGCTCATTCTCTTGGGATACTTTAACAATACAAAAGCCTAATGGTTAAGAAGAGCACTTAAAACAAGTAGTGGGAAATGTACCACAGAAGACATCTGAATGGGTTATGGAGTAGCAAGTCATTGAAATGTTTTAAATACTTTAAACCTACCATGTGATACAAAACAGAAAGCTTGGTAAATAAGAGCTTCCACCCTGAGAAAAAAAACTTGGGTTGTGCTGGCAATGGTAGGACCCACATTTTTTGAGAGCCTGAGTGGTGGGATCTGAATGAACAAATTAGTCTGTTTTTAGAAAATATACAAAAATGATCCTCCACTACTGGAAATTGTTTTAAAATCTTGGAGACATTTTAAAGTTTCAGAGGGATATCTTAAGAGAGGTGCACGAGAAGTATATAAGTCTCTCACTATAGAGACTGAAAAAGAAAATCGGTCTTAAAAAGGGTACACAGAAGAGGTGGCCATGTACTTGTTGCAAACAGGTTCATTCCAACCGCAGCTAGGATGACTCGTGATAATTTTTTTTTTTTATGTAAACACATCGTTTACAAAAATTGCATTTGCCAAGGGAAGTTGGCAGGTGAAAGGGAGTCTGGTTTAATAAATATTAATTTTAACATTAATGTTGACAGGAATGTCTATTAGATGCAAAATCTATAAATGGGAGGGAGGACGAAGAGTTGGGGCTCAATTAAATAGGAGAACTAGGGCTGCCTGGCTTTCGAATAGGGGGCAGCAAGGCGCTCCGCCGGATTATCCGGCAGGGATCGTTCTGACAACCGCTGGCCTCGTAAACTGGGCAGGCATCTGGGACCTCCGCTGCAACCCAAAGAGGAGTCCTTATCAAGGGCGGAAGTGAGCGATCCGGAGGTTTGACTTTTCGGTGGAGCCCGGGAGAAGTTTGTGGGTCGCGCGTTTCAGTGGGTGGGACGAGCCCGGCGGGAGCCTTGCGCGGCAGGGAGTTAACCAGCCAGGATGAGTTCAAAAGTTTGGCAGCGAGTTGGCAGTAGTTGCGGGAGGGGGCTTCCGAGCGGTGCTTAATTTGCCAGAGGAGCAGATTTAGAACGGCTGCAGGCCGGGCGGGGAGGGGGAGGGGAGCCGTCTCCCCCAGGGACTAGGCTGCAAGGCTTCGGAGCCTGTGGGCGGAAAGGGAGGGTCGGGCCGGGAGGGTCGGGGACCTGGTTTCCCCTTCCCGCCCGAGTAAGACGGCGCGGGGTCCAGCAGCGGGAGGTCGGAGGATCCGCGCGAGGGGGAGGAGGGGGGCGCCACCTAGAACTGCCAGCAGAGGCCTAGGGAGCGCGAGGCGAAAAGCGGGCGCCCACGACCGCCTGCCTCCCGCGCGCGTGAGCGAAGCAGCAGCAGCAGCAGGGAGTGAACTGCCGGCAGGCTCCGGGTAGACGGGACCTGGGCTTGGCCAGCCGCCTCAGCCGGAGGAGGCCACCCGGGGAACCGCTCGGAGTTGGGCGACTCTCCTCCTCCCCGCCCTATGTCTCTGCCGGTGGTGGTGCCGGGCTCCTGCTGTCCCATGGCGCGGCTCTCTGAGGTGGGCAGACCTTGCTCAGCGGGGGCTGCTGTGGCGGCTGCCGCCGCCTCCAACCCGCCTCCCCTGCCGCCTCCTCGTCGGCTCCGCTGGTCCAGCTCCGGCTTCGGGCAGCCCCGGCCAGCCTCCCTCTCCCCAGTGGCTTCACGTCTGAACGGGGCCTCGTCCGCTGCCGGCCAGAGCCCGCTGCCGGCCAGACCGCTGCTGTCCCTGGGGCTGCTGCAGTTGATATTGGGGTGCAGCATGGTGGCCCTAAGTTTTGGGGCGCTCTCCCTCAGCAACTCCCCGCAGGTGAAGAACTCCTGTCCCTTCTGGGCCGGCTCCTCGGTAAGTGGCCCCCGGCCGGGCCCTTTTCTCGCCTCTGCGGTTGTTTCCCAGCCTAGCTTCTACGTTGGGCCATCTTCTTCGTTCCCGTTCCTCCTCCTCTTCCAAACAGACGTTTAGGCTTGGCAGCGTCCCATGTGTATTGATGCTCACAACAACCCTGCAAGGTTGGACGCTACAGAACGGGCGTTCTGGTTTTCCCGGGAAGAGTTGGAAACGAATCGTGATTTGAACGGATTGGCTTAAAAATTGGGTTGGGGGAATGGGAAGCTGGAAACGGCATTGTTAGCCGTTGAGGTTAGGACTGCCATATATGGGCTACAAAAAATTAGGGCGACGGCGGTTTTCGGAATCCCTTTGCTGGCATCCAGCTCGGTTGTGTGGTTGGATTTTTGATCGCCCAAATCTTGTAGCCCCAATTAAGATTGATTTTAACTTGTGTTAACATTTATTTGATGGCATTATATTTAGGAAGCTCCCAATAGTTTACTTAGTATGTTAATGAAATAACTTTAAAATGGGAGGGGGGAGGAATTATAACAGAACATTTCCTTTCTTTATCTCTGAATGTTTTACATTAATAATGCAAATAAAAACATTTAATGCTCTTAGGCTCTGTTCCGGTGTTGTCCCTGCACTTTTGAAAAGCCTGGTTGATGTGAAAGAATAGAGCCAACTATAATAGTGAACAAGATTCCAGATAATTCTGGTTTATTATTTGTCACGCCTTGTGAAATTGCTGTTAAGCATAATTGCTTAATATAGATGTGTTGTAACTTATTTTCATTCTTCAAGCCTCTCCTCTAATGTGGTGAGGTATTGTTTTATTTAATAAAAGGCTTATATGTATTTGCAAAGTCAGCTGAATGCATTCATAAAAGCAAGTGTCACTTGCTATGGATTTTGTTTTCATTCATGGATTAATCTTTTGCCTCAGTGCTGCATCTAAATCTCTCAAAAGATTACAGACTTTCTGAATTGCGGATACGGTCCAACTATTGAGAGAGGAAGCAAAACCTGTTAAATGACATTTAGAAAAATATATGCAGAAGTAACCATATCTCCTAAGTTTTCAAAATTATATATCTACATTGGTATAATATTAATATTTGTAGTTTTATGAGATTCCTAGGTAGTTGGAAGATGTCCCTTTTCCCTGATATAATTGGTGATACATTTTCTTGCGAAAAGACTTCTAATCGCAGGCAGTACACAGACATTGGAGAAATCAAATTCTAATTTTAATTTAAAGATGAGTGTATCAAAGAATTTGGAGTCAGTAAATTATTTAATATTTGTGGGCAATAAAAATGATCTGTGTCATTGTGTCTTGAAAGTACACAATGATTAGGCAGTATTGATATGATCATAGCTAGAACTCTTCTTTCTAAATACATAATGAGCAATATTGCAAAGAATAATTTCAAATTCCAGTTTAGTGGACATTAACAAGCAACAACTTTATATCTTCTTAATCTTATGGAGTTGCAGTAAATATAGGAATCTATTTCTGTAGATATAAGTGGAGAGAGGAGAGTAATCAGAATATTGTAATTTGCTTTGTAGATTCTTTATTTTCTCTCACCTTTTTTGCTTTGCATATATTTTTGTCCCTATCACTTTGTGAAGCAGCCTTTCTGCTGCATCTGTACTGGCAAGTCAGACCCTTTGTAAATACTGTTATGTCGCCTTTGTAATGCTAACTGCCAATTGAGATCTGGCATCCTTAATAGATTAATCACTGTTGTTCACATCTTAATAGCTGCTTGTGAATTGCCCAAATGATGCAATCTTGGTTTGTGTGGAAAATGACTTTTTTTATTTTAAACATCTTTTCTTGACTAATCAAGGCAAATAATTGTAGTGCCATATTTATATTAGCACCTGTCTATTTGAATACTTACATTTGAAAGTAATGTAAAAATTAAACTTTTTAATATTTTCCATAACTTGCATTACTCTGTTCACAACAGCTTAATGGTAAATGTAGGCACTTCCAGATATAGACTCATTGATTTTCTAGTTTAAAAAGATATAAAAGAATATGGAAATAACTGAATCAAATGTTAAACTTTGCTTAAAATTTTAAGAAAAATAATAGACCCAAGTTTAGAAAGAGTAATGTCATACAGATAGTCGTCAACTTGCAAATGTTTGTTTAATGACCATTCAAAGTTACAGTGGCACTGAAAAAAATTGACTTATGACCATTTTGACACTTATGACCATTGCAGCATTCCCATGGTCATAAGTATCAAACTTTTGGCAACTGGCATGTATTTATAATGACTGCAGTGTCCTGGGGTCATGTGATCACCTTTTGTAACCTTCAGACAAACAGTCTATGGGGAAGCCAGATTCACTTAACTGCAGTCATTCATTTAACAACTATAGTAAGAAAGGTTGTAAAATGGGAAAAACTTTTAGCAATTATCTTGCTTAGCAGTGGAAATGTTTGACTCAATTGCGGTGAAAAGTTTGAGGACTACCTGTATGGTGAAACAAGCTTCACAACAGGTAGAGGGATGTAGGGTCAGATAGTTGGCTTAGCATGGTTTGAAAATGATTCAGAAGAATCTTTGTAGAAGCACAGTGTGAATTTCTTCCAGGTTTCCTGATGAATTTGAAAAAAGATGCTGCCACTTTAATAGTTGCATTAAAAACATTGGTCAGCTGAACCCCAACATTTTTTTTCTTGGTCTCTCAGTCCTGCCTCTGGATAGAAGCTATTGGTGTGACCCTGTAGGTAGAGGCTCTGAGTTGTCAGCAGGGAATAGGGCAGTAGTGAAAAAGGATTTTTAATTGCTAATACTGGGGGAGAGAAAAATATCAGTATTGGCCAAGTGAAAATATACAGGAAGCAACCCAAATTAGCTGGTGCCATTCTTTCTAATTTCTCTTCTAGGCCAGCCTAGTATTTCTCTCCATCTCACCCCAGGTAGCAAAAGATTTTCAATCAGCATCTGTTCTTGGGGAACAGATCATAGAGTCCCAGGATATGTAGCCCATAGGTTCAAAGCTTCTAGAAGGCCTTTGATTTGTACTAGAAAACCCTTTACAGGAAGTCCTTGATTTATGACCTTTGCTTAGCAACCAAAGTTACAACAGACTCACCAGGGCACTACTATAACCTTGGATTCAAAGTTACCGGTATGATGGTCATCCCTTCTCCTTAGAAAGTAAAGAAGGGATCTGCAATAAATCTTCATGCCAAGATTGAAAGGCTGTATGTTTCTCACAGATAAACCACAGGACATCTAGGCAGACAGATATGATTATTAATTTCCTATTAAAGCTAACTGCAAGCTAAGGGCTTTTTTTGCAGTCCTCATTTCAAGTTCCTTTTTTCTTCGTTAGTAAGATTCTAAAGTGAAAAGTATAAATGTCTTAATAGGTTTAACATTGCAACTTATATTGTATTATCTTAGTACAGTTATCTTTTTGAAACATGTGGATTTAGTTATTTCTTACCAGTCTCATTTCAGTGGTTTTTAAGCACTCTATATGAGGAAAAGAGTTACTTTCAAAAGCCCTAATAACATTCCAAAGGTTATATTACTATCCAATTAAGACATCTTGTACTACTTCAAAATTTGGATACCACAGTTGAATAGATCTTTTTCCACTATATTAAAATTTGTAAGCCTGTGTTTCATTTTAAGTCTACATTATGAGAAGTATTTAACATCTGCTGGAAGAGTGGGAGTTTGCTGATCTTTATCATGTAAAGTCATGAGTAATATTCTCTCAGTCCTTCGTAACAGTTTGTTTTATTGTTGCAGGTCATTTTATCAGGGATTATAGGATTAACAATATGGAAGAGACCCATGATACTTTTGGTATGTATTGGTTAATATGATTCTGATTCAACTATTACAAGCAGAGAATATCACATTTTCTAAGGGAATAGCATGACTATTAAAAATGAATCTTAGTTTCCTCATGTAAATGGATGTCTCTTAAGGCAACATTTTCTCACTTTTAATGAAATTATTTCAACTACACATTATAGTTCTTTGTAGCTGATAATTATATTTCTACACAAGTAATTTACCCCAGATTTGAAGAAATGATTCTGAGAAAGTTTCAATAAATGTAAATTTCTAAGTTAGTGTATCTTATATTTAAGCCTTGAAGTCAACAGCTGCTTTCTAAACTTTTTTTACTATAGTGGAACAGTTAACAAACTCATTAAGTCCTTGATATTTCTTTCATACACAATTTCCATTGCCTCTAATATTGCATCCACATAATTATGAAGAGTTTCTCAATGTAATGTTATTTGCATTCTATAAGGTAGCGATTGATGATGATTTATTAAATTTGTATACTGCCCATCTCTCAATGGCTCACAATCAAATAAATTATAATAAAATAAATTGAAGATTAAAAATAAAGATGGCAAGCACAAAGATGTGAGGGGTCTCACCCTCCCTTGCTGAAAGCTTGGATGAAGAGCCAGATTTTCTAAACAACAGAGAGATCTCAAACTTTGTTCCAGATGGTAGGCATTGCTACAGAGAAGGCATGCTGTCAGGATCCTGAAAGTTGACATTGTCTAATCAAAAGAACTCGGAGTGTGCCAACCCTCAGGACCAAATTAGCCAAGCAGATGCTACGGGAGACAGGGAGTCCCTCAAGTAGCCAGGGCCTATACCTTGTAGGAAATTATAGATAACAACCAGCACTTTGAATTGAACTCTGAAGCAAACTGGCAGCAAGTGCAGCTCACAAAGCAGAGCTGGCACTGCTATATGCTTGGACTAGTTAAAGGGGTAGTTATCAAGGACAGCCACATCTAGAGACCATTACAGAAATCAAGCCACAAGGTTACTAGGGCATGAATTACTGTTTGAAGGGCTTCCCAAATTAGGAAAAGGTGTAACTTGCCTTCCTGGCCTCAGGAGACACTTCTTCAAGCAGGAACTGCAAGTCGAAGAAAACCCAACCTCACCCCCCAGATTGCATACCAGTTTAGAAGGGGGAAGTGTTCCCTCAATCAAAGTCAGAGATGGAATATACCCAGATATTCCGCAAATTCAAACAGTCTGTCACTTGGTGTTGCTGGGATTCAGTTGGAGACAGTTCCTCCCTATCCAGCTTTCATGCACTGGAGCGGAACCTTAATTAGCCACACTTGGCTGGCCCAGAATCAAAATATAATTGGGTTACCTAAAACAGAGCTGCTGAATTACTATCAGTGGATGCAATAAGGATGGAGAAATATTAATGTTTTGCAGCCTGTATCACCAGAAGGCAATCCCTAACATAGGCTTTTACCTATTCTAGTCAGACTAGTTCTAGTTTTCCTCCAACAGCACTCCAGGAGAGATGTGATGGCATCAGATAATTTCTGTCTTTATTCCAGAAAGTATTTTTCTTTTGGATGTATACACATTATTGTGTATACTTGTATAGTGCTACTCATTTTAGCAAATTAGCAGTGTTAGATGTTTGATAGCAAAATGATCAATTTATCAGAATAGCATATTCTTACAATATCTTCTGGGATATCACACTTTAATATTTGATTTTGTTAACACAGAATGACAAACAATGAAATGGTATACCTATTTTCCCCCAGGGTTGGGGGAAAGAGTTCAAGAATTGTCCCTTTTCTTTGTAAGATAAAGTAGTAAATAAAGTATAAACTAGATAGAATGGGAAGAGAATAATCTCTTGTATTCAAGCCATGGGATCCATATTTACCTATAATGTTAAAACGGAATTTAGGGCTGCAGGCGTGCAGTTAGGCTGTAGAAGATTCTATGATGTTTTTAGAATATATCTAGTCCTCTCCGAAAAGCACTTGGAATAAAGAAATTATGTTTGTTACCCCACTTTTTGGCATACAAAACCTAACTGATACTTGAAATATTTATCAGAAGTAGGATCAGGTTGTGAAGCAGTAAAATCTAGTTGGTGTAGTGCCGCAAAGTGAATACATCTCAGCAGGAATATTTGAATTTGAAGAGTATCATACAATTTTAAAAACAACAAATAAATAATAAATTATTCAAATACTCTCTGAGATATCAACTTGTCTTAATGAGGTAGACAGTAAGCAATTATGAATAAATAAGTAATTTTGCTATTGATGTGCTAAATTTAAAAAAGCTTTCTCCATTGGAAACCTGTCAGGTTCTACTGTTTTTCAGTTTTATAATTTCCATAACTATAAACATAGTTAAAATTTTAAGAATTTCAGCCCTTCAAGAAATATTATATTACTATAATATTGATTACTAGTATATTTCCTTAAGTTATTATTTTACTATAATGCAGTACTTTCTTATGTATGGTATATATTTATGTAAATATATGCTTTAAACATATTTTTAACCATAATATGGATAAAGGTTTTTTTAAAAAATACAAGTTGAATAAATATAAGCAAGGATTTGAATATTCAAAATATACAATGATAAATTATTTCTACCATTTTTTAAGTAGTAAAAATCAGAACGTACATCCTTTACATCCACTGCTTCTCATTTGTAATCTGAGTTTTCTTTGTTTGCAGTTCTTAAACATTTATTTCCACATTCTCTGCATTAAAAGGAAGTGATTTGTATCATTTCAAAATTCGAATAACATCACCTCACTTCAAAAATAATTTAGAACAACTACCCGTATTTTTCAGAGTATAAGACACACCTTTTTCCCCCAAAAAAGAGGGTGAAAACAGAGGTTTCAGAGGCTGAAAAAGGCGTCTGAAACGAAGCTTCAGAAAAAAGCCTCTGAAACGGAGGTTTCAGAGGCAGGAAAAAAAGCAAGGCACAGACCTCACAACCAACTAACCTGTTGCTAAAATTCACCTCTGGGAACAGCTGATTGGGGGTATTCCAGGAGGCCAAACCACCAGCCAATCAGCTTTTTTCTTATTTTCTTCCCTAAAAACTAATGTGTTTTATACTCCGATGCATCTTATACTCTGAAAAATACAGTATTTAATTCCCAACTATCTCAGCAGATTGCTGGCCTAGTCTGGATTTGGAAGCTAAACAATATTGTTGTATTGAGCATGGTGAATCCTTGGTAATTGAGATTACCAAGCAATGCCAGGGCTACACACCTGATCTGGAAGTTGGAAAACATTCTGGGGGGAAAGCAATAGAGAACACCAACACTTTTATCAAAAACTCTTTGCTTACATTTTAGGAATCACAAATTTTAATAGCTCCAGTTAAAAAAACCTGGGCATTATGTTAATTATTCAGATTCACTCTGCATTTTCCGCACTGTGTCTCAGCAAAACAAACTGTTTTTATCTTACCTATATTTTATTTCTGGATATAGAGAAATAAATAAATGGTAATTTAAATTCTTTAAATATTATTGTCCTTAATAGGGTGTGAAAGAATGGATTCTATCTTATTATTTGCAATTCAGTATTTATTCCATTATAATATTACTTAGATACTAATGTACTGGTTTTTTAGATAATTCAAATACTGAATGCATTGAATAATGCAACAGTATCAGAGTTTAATCTTTATTTCACTTAATATTCAAATGTTTCTATATCATTTGAAATTAGGGTCCTTCCTAAATTGTTATAAATGTATTGAAAATGGAATTTATGTTCATTTTATCTTGTACAGTTGAGCCCAATATAGCCTGTAGCCAGCTAATTGTGGGAAGTAAGCCTGTGCATGTGCAGATCCACGTGCATTGAGTGTATGTGTGAGAATTTTCCTCATGATAGGATATATATTGAATATTAAAGAAACCAACATGTTTGAATGTTGTCATTCACTGTGCAATTTTTATTTGTTCTAGGTTAACTTGTTTGTTTTGCTTTCTGTTATTTGTGTTCTCTTGAACCTGGCTGGCTTTATCCTTGGATGCCAAGGAGCTCAATTTGTGTCCAGTGTCCCTAGGTGTGATCTGGTGAGAAGATATTTATGTTTAAAGTATATATTCAGAGTATAACAAATATCAATAATTGTAATGTTCTATTCTTAAATAACTAATTATTACTATTCTGCATTAGACTTACAGTGAGGCATAATTTATTTTTATTTTTTATTTTATTTGATTTGTATACCGCCCTACTCCCGAAGGACTCAGGGCGGTGAACAGCCAAGCAATAAAATACATAAATACAAAAATTTAAAAAACCAGTTAAAATCAAATTAAATCATTTTGGCCCAGACAAATTAAAACACCCCAATAATTTAAGAACAGATTTAAAATTTATATATTAAAAGAGGGAGGAAATTAGGCCAAGCCTGCTTGATGGAATAAAAGAGTCTTCACAGCGTGGCGGAAGGTGCGCAGATCCGGGATCCTCCGTATCTCTGGGGGGAGCTCATTCCAGACGGTAGGTGCCCCCACAGAGAAGGCTCTCCCCCTAGGGGTCGCCAGCCGACATTGTTTGGCTGACGGCACCCGGAGGAGTCCCTCTCTATGAGAGCGTACTGGCCGGTGGGAGGCTATTGGTGGTAGTAGGCGGTCCCGTAGATAACCAGGTCCTAAGCCATGGAGCGCTTTAAAGGTGGTAACCAAAACCTTGAAGCGCACCCGGAAGACCACCGGGAGCCAGTGCAGCTCGCGCAGGAGAGGTGTTACATGGGAGCGCCATGACGCTCCCATTACCACCCGCGCGGCCGCACTCTGCGCCAGTTGGAGCCTCCGGGTGCTCCTCAAGGGGAGCCCCATGTAGAGAGCATTACAATAGTCCAGGCGGGAGGTGACGAGGGCATGAGTGACCGTGCGTAACGAGTCCCGATCCAGAAAGGGACGCAACTGGCGAATCAGGCGAACCTGATAGAAAATCCTCCCGGTCACGGCCGTCAAGTGCTCTTCTAAAGACAGCCGTGAATCCAGGAGGACGCCCAAGTTGCGAGCCCTCTCCGTGGGGGCCAGTGATTCGCCCCCAATAGTCAGAGATGGCGTCAACTGACTATATCGGGACGTCGGAAACCACAGCCACTCGGTCTTGGATGGGTTGAGCCTGAGCCTGTTCCTCCCCATCCAGATCCGTACGGCCTCCAGGCACCGGGACATCACTTCAAGGGCATCGTTGGGGTGATCCGGGGTGGAGATGTACAGCTGGGTGTCGTCAGCGTACTGATGGTACTCCACCCCGAAATCACGGATGATCTCGCCCAGCGGCTTCACATAAATGTTGAACAGGAGAGGCGAGAGGACCGACCCTTGCGGCACCCCACATATGAGGGGCCTCAGGGTCGACCTCTGTCCCCCTGTCAACACAGACTGCGACCGGTCAGAGAGAAAGGAGGAGAACCACCGCAACACAGTGCCTCCCACCCCTAACTCTTCCAACCGGTGCAGCATGATACCATGGTCGATGGTATCAAAAGCCGCTGAGAGATCTAATAGGACCAGGACAGAGGAGCACCCCCTGTCCCGAGCCCTCCAGAGATCATCAACCAACGCGACCAATGCTGTTTCCGTGCTGTACCCGGGCCTGAAGCCCGACTGGAGCGGATCCAGATACGTTGTTTCATCCAGGTGCTGGGGGAGCTGTTTCGCGACCACACTCTCAACAACCTTCGCCACAAAACGAAGGTTGGAGACCGGACGATAATTTACCAACATTGCCGGGTCCAGGGATGGCTTCTTGAGGAGAGGCCTCACCACCGCCTCTTTCAAGGCGGCAGGAAAGACACCCTCACCCAACGAAGCATTTATAATCCCCTGGAACCAGCCTCGTGTCACCTCCCGAGAAGCCAGCACTAACCAGGAGGGACACGGGTCCAATAAACAAGTGGTCGCGTTCAGTCTACCCAGAATCCTGTCCACATCCTCAGGGGTCACAGGATCAAACTCATCCCAGATAACATTCTCAAGACCTGCCCCTGTTCCTCCTCCTGAGACTACCCAGTCGGAGTCCAGATCTTCCCGAATCTGAGTGATTTTGTCATACAGATATTGAACAAAATCCTCGGCTCTACCCTCCAAGGGGTCCTCCCACGCTTCCTGATGGAGCAGGGAGTGGGTCACCCTAAACAGGGCGGCCGGGTGATTATCTGATGATGCAATAAGAGCAGCAAAATAGCTACATTTCGCTGCTTTTATCGCCACTAGGTAATTCCTAATATGAGATCTTACCAGTGTCCGGTCAGATTCAGAACGGCTGGCCCTCCAACTACTCTCTAGGCGTGTTTTCCGGCGCTTCAACTCCCTCAACTCCTAATGAAATAATATCTGTAACCCTAATATCAAATGTATGAATCTGTGATTTTCTTCTGTTCAAATCAAATACTACATTCCTATATAGGATTTTGAGAATCTAAGGCTTTAAATAGAAAGCTATGAAAGTTCTTTAATTTACGTTAATGAACAGATAATAGGCAAAGCAATAATATATTTTATTGTTCCATATAGCAACTCCTTAACAATGTTGCATGTGTCTAATGACAGTAAATTGTATTTTGCATTATGGATTATTAATCTTTTGGTTTAATTTTGATAACATTTTGATGTTGCTCTTTAAATTACTAATTCAAATGCTTACTCTTCTCAATATTAAAGGTAGATGTTGCTGAAAATAAAATTTGTTTCTGCTGTGAAGAATTTATGCCAGCAAAATGCACCGAGAAAGAAAATGCATTGCAGTTGTATGCAATCCAATCATGCAGTTCAGTTCACCTTCTACTCAAAGTAAGATTACTAATACTGACTGTAGTGGTTGTAAATAAACTGTTATAAATAGAAACGTGATTAAGAATAATATTGATTTCTTTCCAATGCAGAACTTCCAGACTTTTTGATGCCTTTTTATTCAGGACCTGTAGGAGGAAATACTAAGGAAAAAAAGACAACATGTAACCTTATTTGACCATGTTTGGTCATGTCAGGGACTATATGTAGGGCTTGTTGACTTTATCAGAGTGCACATTCTGCATGAAGAAGAGAAAGTTAGATGTGTAGAAAGTGAGCGTGTTCTTTGTAGAAAACATATTCTTTAAAAGAGATCATTCTACTCTTTTTCCTCTGGAATTAATATCTGCTCCCCCATCCTTTCACACTTTACAAAATGCAACTGTATGTAAACTTAATCATATGCTTGCATCTGGAAATATGACAGTGTATGGTAAAATTTGAATGCATAACTTTGTCTCTCAGGATTGATATTCATTTTTACAATGATGTTTGTGTTTTCACTTAAGTGCAATATTTGTTTTCCTCAAATAGCTATTAGAAATCTTGATCTGTATCACAACTTTGGTGTGGATGATAGGGAGTCACTATTGTAACATGCCTGGCATATGGCTATTCAGACTTTCTTTCAATACCTTCAGCAAGAGTTTACTACTTCCCAAGGGAATCTGTTCCAGTGTTGAATGGTTCTTACCTTTAGGATTTTTTTTCCTGATGTTCAACCACATTTCATTTTCTTGTAATTTAAACCTGTTTTTTCTTATGCTGATTTCCGCAACATTTCCCAATAGCTCTGCCCCATCTTCTACATGCCAACCACTGGACTACTTGAGAGCAGCTGTCACATCTCCCCACAGTTCTCTTCTCCGAGATGATCATGCCCAATATCTCTAGCCATTCCTTGTAAGTTTCACCTTCCAGATCCGTATTAAGATTTCTAGTTCTTCCTGTTATTCCCCATACTCAGTACATTTGTATAGTGAAACAGGCTTCCTTATTGTCATGGGCCTTGACCTGAGCATAAGCTTAGTTCCACACAAATAGATGGTGTGGAGTTCCAATTCTGTATCCACACTGCAGTGATAGGCTAAGGTTTAAAATTCCTTTACCTTAGTGCTAATCTCCATTTAGATGGGTTCTAGGGCTGGCTATCTGTGTGAAAAGAAACACCTTTCATTCCAGGCCAAACTGTGTGAAAAATATAACTTGTAGCATGGCACTAAAAAAGGATTAACTTGTTGATTTGGTTCTCTCAGAAGCAGACATTCGATAAGATTTACAAAACAACTTATCTGAACCACCAGAGATACTAAAACATGCTCGGAAATCTATAGAAGTGATCATAATCTGTAACAGGCATTAAAATTTATATTTAAGTTGACAAATACATTTCTGTATCTGAATCTCTTTGTGGATTAAGTTATTGGTAAATTGGATCTTTAAAAAATGTATAAATTGCATAGAGGAAAGGTATCAGCGAAGAACATTGTAGGAAGAGACCCATGTTAGCCGATGGTGGCAGAAAATCAGGAGTCTGGTAGCACTAGCAAGTGTTATTAAAAGACATGAGCTTTCGTGAGCTGCAGCTTACTTCATCAGATAAATAGAGTAGCTAGACTTAAATTTAGATTTAAACTGGAGGGAGAAGAAGAGAGAAAATATGCTGGTTATGCAAATGTGGGTTACATGAATAGAATCCTAGGGAGTATGAGCAAATTACAAGGTTGCTAGTATGATACACAGTGATTTTTTTGTACCACGGTTGTCAAATTTGCGTATAGCATAGTTTTTAGGTGAAGAAAAGGCATCTGCTTAAAAGTTAACTAAATTTTGTGCTTGGAAATCAAAAGAATTAATGTGTGTACTTTAAAATATATATTTGGTGAATCACAATTGCAGTTATTCTTTTCAATTTTTTGTCCTTCAGAAAGTTCTCTTTGCTCTCTGTGCTCTGAATGCCTTGACAACCACTGTTTGTTTGGTAGCTGCTGCCCTACGTTACCTGCAGATATTTGCAACTAGAAGATCCTGCAGAGTAAGTGAGTGCAGGACACACTTTCATTTTAAAAAAGTAGATATATTAAGAAGTTACTCTTCTGTTCCTGCTATAACAGTGTTTTATAAAATTTTATCTTGTTAGGAAGAACCGCAAATTTATACAGAGGAAGTTGAGGAAGATGGCCATGCTTCTGATCCTGATGATTTTGTGCCACCAGCCCCACCTCCATCATATTTTGATACCTTCTATTCTTCCACATCACGAGGCAATCGCAGGTAAAGTAACTCACTCTTGATATTCTGAGACTTGACAACTGATTTAATCAAACCTTCTTACAGGTAATCCTCAATTTACGACCCTAATGGATCTTATCCTTTAAGATCACAAGTAGTGACAGTTGTTAAGTAGAATTGCTACATTTAACAACTGCCTACCCTTGCTCTCTTGCTGCTATCTCGATTATATAGGCAGTTGATCTCCAAATAACATTTCCTAGCGCACTGTCACTCCAAACTAATCCTATGACGCCACCATCCTATCTACAGATTCAGGTCCCTCAGCGCCATCTGTTTCACTTCTCCTGTACATGGCCAGATAGCTTGTCAGACGACATTTCTTTGAATATCATGAATTTCAGCTTCTTTTCTTGCTTCTTGAATGGGTTTATAATACATTCTGTTAAACTAGGAGTGGATAACATTTTTGTAGCCAAGGACCTCGCTTTATAGATTTTAGCAAGGACTGGTCAAAAATTAGTGAGCTGCACTCATCAGTATACTTTCAGTTACAATATGAGGTTCTGATTATCATCTTTAAAACTTTTAATGACATACCACCTAGCTGCTTGAAGGAATCTCCCTGTCAAAGTGTGCCCATCCCTTTTGATCTGACAGGGTTAGCCTGCTCCAAATCCCATGAATAAATGTCATCTGATGGGACCCAGAAAATATGCCTTCTCTATCACAATTCTCTTTGTGATTTCCATAGCCCCACCTTGACCTTAACATCTGATTTTTCTCCCAGAATTTGGAATAACTTGGATGCTTAGGATCTTGAAGAGTGCTGCCACAGTTATAGGGGGCTATGCTAGGTTTTCTGTGTCACTTTTACCTTCTGTTAATTGCTTTTTTAAACCTGTTTTTAATATATGCTGCCAAGGATTATTTTGAGTTGCGCAACTAACTAAATTTCATAAAAGTGGATAAGACAGGGATTTTTTTTTCTTTTTGAATATTTTTTTGGCAATTGAGGAAATAGAGCATAAATTGTGAACATAGCAATATTGGACCCTGAAGTTGCAGGTTGCCTAATCCTATCTTAAATATTTAAGATTACAGGCAGAATCAATTTTAGCGAAGGGAGGAAAAATCTTGATACGTCAGGTGGTGACCCAGTGAGTTTGACACCCCTGCTCTGAGCAGTCATCTGGTTCAAGGTCTTTTGGAACCCTATGACATCACAGAGGTTAAACCAATAACAATCCTAGGCCTTGTGGCATATGTGATTTGCCTTATAAACCCAACGCCATGTAACTTAACTTAGCATGAATAGCATTAGTCCACTATATATCAGAGGAGTCAGTAGCAGAAAGATGCAAATCAAGGAGTATAGAGGAGAATTGAGCAAAGTGGTTGAGAGGTTGACTTTCAGAATGCCTATTTGGAAATAAAGAATAGATTACTATCGTGCTGGACTTTTTTATTCTATTGTTGTAACAATGGCAGAGGTGGCTAAAGTGTCTTATCTTCAATTAGCTGAAAATATGGAACAGTTAGATAAGGGATATTTAGATGAATCCCCTCATGCATTCAGTGAATGTGGAGAAAAGATAAAGGGAAGATCCTTGCTATCTATGTTGTCTCTGGACAATCATATATTTAACATTTGTGTAACAGATATCATGTACCTTTACTTCTCTCTCATCAAGTAGTGAGAACTAGCTAACCAAGAATCCTAGTTTTGTGGAAGAGCCATAAACAACCACAATCCTTTTCTGACTAATTCTGAGCATGCAGAAACAGAGCTTACAATCCATTAAAGGATTTGTCCTTCCCCCTTCAGAAGAAGTATGATGTGCAGGAGGGTAATAGCTACAATTGTCTTCATCTTTCTGCTGGCGGGGAAAAAAGCTAATCATTCATTACTGTCAGCCTGTCTTTAATTATAGTTGTTACAGAAAAAAGATGGCCATTCTAATTCTGTGCATAAATGCTCCCTGCGTATCTTGATTTCTCTCTGTGCCTCTACTTACTGTATATTGGTGGACACTGTAGATTCAGAAGGACCCTTGCTATGGAACAGTGCTCGCAGTCCTGATCTCTGGGCCAGGAACCTCCATACTCAGCCTCTCTCTCATCAAGGCCAGCTGTCTGCAGTTCTTCTGCAGATTGTATGAGCGCAACAGGTCTGCAAAGAGTATTGTAGGAGAAGGATTGGCAGAGCAGGCGGAAGGATAAAAAGAGGGATCAACTAGAATCATCAGGTAGCCATAAATGAACTAAGTCCAACCCCTTCCCTTGATTGCCATTGACTCTTACCTAATTCTAAGCAAGGACTGGCCATTAGTTAAGATTCCTGTGCATTTATTGTTTTTAGCAATAAATCAGTTAAATTGTACCTGCACATGAGGACCTGGTTTTTTTGCACCTGACAAGTATTTGACATTTGGATATTTAATACTTTAATTGGATTCCATACTTAAAACGTTTTATTTCCCTCACAGAAAATAATCCTGTTTAAATCCTTGTGAATACACTTTTTTAAAAACCCTATTCTCTATATTGTTTTTCTACCAAAGATCGAATTCCATTATCCTGACTTTTGGAGCCTGTGCCATTAAAATGTTATGGACATTCTTTAGTTGATGCAACCTTTTTCTCTTAGGATGCTGGGTTCTGATGTTATTCCATTACCACACATTTATGGAGCCCGAATTAAAGGTGTTGAAGTTTTCTGCCCTCTTGATCCCCCACCTCCTTACGAAGCTGTGATGAGCCAGATAAGACATGAGCAGGTATTGTCCAGGGCATTCTTCCAGCTTAACGTGCTTTCACAGGGGTCTGTGGTACATTGTCACATCCTTCAGATGGTCAAATGTACCACTTTTTTGCTACTGTAATGCCACATATAGTGGAAATGGAAGCTGTTGAAATAAACATTTTATACTTGATCTAGGCTTTGGACTTTGTTGCTTTCCCACTTCCTGCTTTTTTGTATCACATAATGTTAAACATCAGTTCTGAAAAAAAAGTATACACCCAGGTAGTCCTCGATTTACAACCACAATTGAGCCCAATTTCTGTTGCTAAGCAAAACATTTGTTAGGTTTCGCCTCATTTTACAACCTACCTTGCCACCGTTGTTAAGTGAATCACTGCACTTGTTAAATTAATAACATGGTGGTTAAGTGAATCTGGCATCCCCATTGTCTTTGCTTTTCAGAAGGTTGCAAAGGGTGATCACATGATAAGTGTGAAAAAATGCTTTTTTCAGTAGTGGTGTAACTTTGAGTGATCACTAAATGAACTGTTGTAAGTTAAGGACTACTTATTCTGTTTTTACATTTTTGTTTGTTCTAATTAATGTATTAACCAATTCTAATCAAAATTAGTCCTAAAAGATTATTATGTTTTAAACTTATTTGATGGTTATCTGAAGCTCTAAAATTGTAGGCTATACTTTCTGCTCAGTGCATGTTTTTATATCTCAAAAATTCTCAGTTTTAACAAGTAATTGTAATATCAAATATGGTTTTCTTAAATCTCAGATCATTTCTGCTTTTAAACTCTCATAAACATGCTAGAGTTTTAAATATCTGTAAAGAACAAACTCTCAAACCAGAATGCACTTAACTTTCTATCTTACTCATTTATGGTCCTTCTGCAAGTCTATAAGAATTTGGGAATTCAGAAATTAATAACTGCTAAACTTTTTCATAAGTCTCTGGGTTTTTTCCCCTAGTTGGCATGTCTTGTAATCTCACATAAGCCACACTCACCCTGTGGAATAAAGTGACTAAGGCCATTATATAGTTGTGTTTAAGTATCTCGCCCTCCCGTCACATGAGCTTCTTGTTATATCACAAAGCTAAAGGTAATGAAAAGTAAACAGGAAGTTTCATGCTGAATCTAATTTATATGAGTGACTTTTGGAATTATTCTATAGGAATGACAAAGTCAGAGTTCTTTTCCACCTCTGAATCTCCTCACTAATGTCCAGGTATTTACCTTTGACCTTTAAGAAAATTAGCTGTTTCTTCAACAATTTGTTGTGACACATTTGCAAGGCTGTTTGAAGATAAAAGCTATGTGCATTTGGTATGACTTGGACTCTGTGGCTAGTCTGTATAGGTAGGTTAGGTAGGCAGGCAGGCAGACAGACAGACAGACAGATAATCTATCTACCATAGAAATGTATTTGCTGCCCATCTCCTGGGTGATTTTGGGTGGCTTACAGCAGAAAAACTTTAAAATTACCAACTATAAGATAGCAAAACAGATAAAATAAAATCATTAACACAATGAAGGATGAAGGAGGGAGCTGGACCACAGGGACAGGGATGGGATTAGGTTTAAATTAGTCAACAACTCCAGTGTGAGGCTCCACCATTGGGTCCCCAAGCCATCTGGCAGAGCCTGGTCTTAAGGCGCTTAGGAAAAGTCAGAAGGGTGGGCTGTCACTAATAATGCAGACTTGGTGAATAGTTCGACAGTTTCGAGGGAATCATTTATTTAGCAGAGTGATGGCGTTCGGGGGGAAAACTGTTCTTGTGTCTAATTGTTTTGGTGTGCAGTGCTCTATAGCATCGTTTTGAGGGTAGGAGTTGAAACAGTTTATGTCCAGGATGAGAGGGATCTGTAAATATTTTCACAGCCCTCTTTTTGACTCGTGCAGTATACAATACTTAGATGTCAAGAAGTAAAATCAGATTATCACTACACATAAAATAAATTAGAATGACCAGAATGTTTAGTAAAGGAGATCATTTTTCCTGGAGAACATTTGTGATTTAGTGGTGTTTCTTTGTAATTCTGTTTAAAATTTACATTTAAATTAAATTAAATTTAAATTCTCTAAAGTCAGGAATGTATTTCTATTTCTCATTAATTTACTTAGAAGATTACTTTTATTTTTATATTTAGGAAGATGCATCCAATTCAGCTGTCACAGAAGCTGTAAATGATCCACCTGAACAAAATGATACACAGGTACCAGAAGGTAAAAAGTGTTTTTTGAAATATTGTGCTAAGGTTAACAATGAACTACAAGAAATACAGTAATGATTATTTTCTTATTTAAACTAATTTACTGTATATAACAATCGTTTTCTCTTAAAAAACGATCACTCTGGAACAGCCTTTCTCTTTCTTTCACTTAAACATTGTAGGAGGAGAACCATGTTAGTCTATGGTAGCAAAAGATCAGGAGGTGTTTGATTTTTGACTAACAAATTATATTTAAAAAAAACAAACAAACCTCCAGCTCATTTCATCAGCTGCATAGAGTAGCTAGACTGCTACAGGGTTTAAACTAGGGCTAGGGGGAAGCGGGGGAATGGACGTCAGTTAAGCAGAGGCAGGGTGCACATAAGACACCCTGTATTTGCCTGTATTTCATTGGAATGTATTAAAAACCTGTCATTGTATTTGTTCTGTCCTTCTGAGATTGCCTGCACCTTTGTCGTAGGTGAGTTCAGCATTCTTTCACTCACTGATGGAGTTGGCAATGCTCCACTGGATTCTACATAGGACAAACAGGACAAACTTTGCACAGAGGAATTAATAGACACAAATTTGACACCAGGAAACAAAACAAGGAAAAATAGCATTGGAGCACTTCAGCCTTGAAGGGTCCTTGAAATGACTCTTTTGGAATAACAGGACTTTATCTCCACCATTGCTAATGAAATGAGTAACTTACTGTTGGATTTTGGAAGCAACTGAACAGAACTAAAACCTTATTCATTCTAAAGCCTATTTCATGGTAGTGTTGTTATTTGAGGAATAAATTTCACATTTTCTTTTTGTCCACAATGCTTTTGGAATGGTGATGTTGATGTTAATTTAAAAGTATTTTAATTATTTGTTCGTAGTCCCCACTGTTTTAGAAATGTGAATAGGGAAAATATAGAAGCCCTGAATTAGATTAAAAACTAAACTGAAGAAAGATAATGCACACTTATCATCTTTTTATGACCTTGTATTGATGGGGTTGTCAGGCTATTTAAATTAGTTTTGAAAATACAGTGTCTAGGGTAGACCATGAACAATAATTTTATTTATGTTCTGTCTTCTAGGACGAGTTCTCACAGTTTACAATTTTAAAAAGTACAGAATACATAATATTAATAAGTGCAACATGTATTTTAAAATGAGAGAGAATTATTGTTAAAATCAATGAAAAGACTTCCAGAATAAAATAATCTTTGGACCTGGTTAGGCCTCACCCGACAGAATACATACAATTCTTATTAGATTATCCCAGTGAGGGATCCTTGAATCCACAAATATCAAGCTATGTTTTTTTTTTAATCATTGAACTGAATATTGTGTGCACTGCTCTTATTTGGATGAAGGGAAGAACTAAGAGGGTACTCAGGAGAAATTGCCAAGGAAAGTTTTCCAACAGCTTTGTTTAGATCTGTAAAGCGAAGACAAGATAGATATGCTCTATCTCGGGGGTGAAATGCTCCCGGTTCGGACTGGATCACCTGATCCGGTAGCGATGGAGGCGGGTGGTTTGGAGAACCGGTAGCAAAAATCCCTGGGCCCCCCCCATGCCCAGCTGAGCCGCACAGTCATCAGAGGCTTTTTTTTGTTTTTTACTTTTAAAAGCATTTTTTTCTACAACCTCTTTGGCAGAAAAAAATGCTTTTAAAAGTAAAAAAAAAAGCCTCTGATGATCGTGCGGCTCAGCTGGGATTGTCAAAGGCTTTTAAAAGAAAAAAAAACCTTTTTTTCTTTTAAATGCCTCTGACGATCCAAGCTGAGTTGCCTGATCGGCAGAGGCTTTTTAAAAAACTCAGCTTGGATCGTCAGAGGCATTTAAAAGAAAAAAAGCCTCTGCCGATCAGGCAACTCATCTGAGATCGTCAGAGCCTTTTGAAAGCATTTTTTTACAATCTCTTCGCCGAAGAGGTTGTAGAAAAAGTGGTTTTAAAAGTAAAAAAAAAAAATGGCCACACCCACCCAGTCACATTACACCCCCCCCACCAAGCCACGCCCACAGAACCGGTAGTAACAAATTTTAGATTTCACCACTGCTCTATCCTCTGTGTGAAGAGCTGATTCTGAATCTAGTGATTTGATGGATAAGTGGAAAACATTGTTTTGAGCTTAACATGATGTTTTGAGTCATTGTATCTCTAACTCTTACCATTCTTTATTGATTTGTTCACCTTTATTCTTCCTTTATCAAGGTTTGTTAGTTCTCTGGGATAAACCTTGTTTATAACCAGTTTTACTGTGTGATCCCCTTGAAAATTGTACGCTATTAGAACACAAATTATTATTATTTCATTTGGATCAGAATTTGAGAGACCAGTGAGCCTCTTTTGAAACCCAAGTATCTATGACCCACCTGAAAATTAAGAATTTGTGTTCCCTTTACTTTGAAACAAGATACTTCTAAAAAGAGCTTTGGCACGGTTCCCCATTAAGAAACAACTCTGAATTAATTATTTTAAATCTCATGTCACCTGCCCCAGATCCATGCCCTTGTTTTTTTCTTGACAACAACATAGAAATGGTTTGTCATGAAATTTGGGAATATTAGTTTTTATATATTCTGAGGACAATAGGAACACATGTTTTTCATTTCTGCAAGCTATTTGGATAACACTGATAATTCTCAGGTGATTAAAGCAAAGCATGTCTTTTCATGTCCATGTTTTTGTAATACCACATACCCAAGTTTACATATGCTTGTGAACATGATGTTAAAATAAGAAGTCCGGCTTTTTAAGATTTACAGTTTGCTTTCTTTCATCACTGAAACATAATTTGCCAGATAATAATGTAAGAATTCTGTTAGACACTTGTCATTGGCGCATTGGCAATACTTTAGATAATGAGCACACATACCCTTTTATAATTGTATTATCTTGATTAACAGAAACCTTTATTGTAATGGAAAGCTTTATAAGTATTGCTTGGTAACCATTGTTTAACTTTAAATGACTGTAGAAATCTGTTTAAAAGAATTATGTTTCCAGAATTTTTGCTCTCCCTGCTTTGTATTTGTATTTGTGTGTGTGTGTGTGTGTGTGTGTGCACGTGCATCCATATGGGTGTGGGTATGAAGAGAGACAGAGCACATGTGAGTTCATGCTAACTGAATTTCTTGTTCCTGTCTTTCTTCATTGCAGGAGATGAAAGTTCTCCTAATTCTTTGAGTAGAGAGACTACTTTGTCTCCGGATGCCAGCTTGGTACCTGTGGGGACTTCTCAGCTATTCAGAAAACGATCAAAAAGTGATCCTGTTCTTCAGACCTTTCCATCCAGAGGTGACCTGATTCTTTCTCCCCTTTCTAGAAAATATTCTTTATCTCTTTTTTTTTTCTGAGACCTCAAAATGAAGGAGATTTATTAGCATTAAGAGTGTTCCTTCTCAAATGGCGTTGTTGCCTTGGAGCTATAAATTATTCAATGAAAAATGATGGTGGTCTTGTTAGAATCAGGGCCATAAGGCCCAGTGAGACCCTCACCTCAGCCAGAAGAGCAGGAGTGGCATTTATACACCAACTCCCTCCCAACCCCATCAGTTCTTCCAAGTTTGCAAACAGGGTAGGGGAGGGTTTGGCTGCAGCCATCAAATCTGAGGCTTAGTTTTGTAGACATGATGAATTTGCAGAGCAGTGGTGCTGGAGGGCTGTTTTCTATGCCTACCTCATTCTCATTCTAAAAGGATCCTTCACTAAATATTACTATTCAGCAGCCTTTGCAGAGCCAGGTATTGATAGACAGGTTTCTTACAGTAATTCTGCTAACAAGGCAAAGAACAATAAAGAAGCTTTAGGAAAGGGAAGGGAGTAGTTGCAGTGCATCACCCCACATTTGAGTATGGATCACTTTGCACCAATATGAATGTGAATTCTTATCCATCTCTTTTTCCCCTCAAATGTATTGCCTTTAGAAGTGCAGTGTCCCTCTACACACACACACACAAATAGAACATTGGTAAAAATATTTACTAACATTACAAAATTAACTTTAAAAATATCAGAAAGATATTAATAAAATCAGCCTGTTGGAAATTCAATTTGAAATGTTATTTAAGTACTAAATAAGTCAGTATTTAAATTGAATTATTTTGCAGTAATTAACAATCAGTATATCTCAAATTATTGACTTTTTAAACTATATCACAAATGTTTCCGACGAAGGTGGTGCTGTTATCAAAGCCTGTCAGGATTTGAGCAAAGCATTTGATAAAGTTCCAAATAATGAGTTCAAAAAAAGTTGTACATGCCGGGACTTAACCATTAGGTGGTTCAATGGTTAAGAAGTAGGCTCAGGGATAGATCCTAGTGTGTGATTATTAATGGGGCACTGTCTGAACAGAGACCAATCACAAGTGGTGTGCCACAAGGCTCAGTTCTAGATCCTGTTTGTAAATGATACAATAGAAGGATTGCTAGGGAAGGTTTATCTTTTTGCTGCTGTCACAGAAGTGTGTAATAGGTTGACATTCTGGTGGTATTTGCAACACAGAAAACAAGTTGGCATTGCTAGAAAATTGATCAGAAATGTGGAAACTGCAGTTCAGTGTTCCTAAATTTAAGATCATACATTTAAGAAAAAAGAATCCTCTGGCAGCATACACTATTGGGGTACAGTGTTAGACAGACAGAATTGCCCTATCCATGTTGGGAGTGGTCTTGGTGGTCTTTGTTAGGTTTACTGTTGCTTGTTTGATAGTTTCTTGATTGGGATATTGTCAGTGGTGGGATTGAAATAATTTAACAACCGGTTCTCTGCCCTAATGACCGGCTGGGTGGGCATGGCCAGGGGGCATGACAGCACACAGATCTCCTGCATTGTCCCAGCCAAAACGGGACACAGAAGTAATTACAAAATGTGGGCTTTTATAGACCAGATCCAACAAGCAAGGGGTGTGAACTGCACAGAAAATACACTTTTGTTTGGTTATGAAGAAATATCCCCAAAGTCAGATGTACACTAAATGTAGACTGACTTTTAGCTGCACACCTCCCCAGCAAACAGCAAATTTTGAAGCTCCACGTAAAGATTCATTTTAGGATAAATAACCACAGTTTGCATGTTGGAGGTTCCTAAAGGAATGCTGGGAAACTGTATTTTAAAGAACATTTGAGGGAGTGGTGCAGAATAGCCCTTCTCTGCCTGAGGCTGTAGAGACCCAGCACCAATCAAAACACTTTTTGTGAAGCAACTGATCAACACTGACAGTGTAAGCTACTAGTATATGAAAATAAGAGCAAACTTCACTACCTTCTTGTACTGATTATGTTACCTAGTTTGGTAATAAAACATCTGCAAGAAAACCATCAAGCTCAGAGAGCACCAAGGAACCCACAGTTCAACCCTGAGCTACAAATATTCTCTTCTATTGATAAACACTTTTTGGTTACATGGACTCAGAGCCTGCGTTATACGAGATGGTTTCCACTGGATTTCATTCTAAATTTTGATATGATTTCTGTAAATAAGGAATGTAGAATTATAATGGCTGGGTATTTGATCCTTCATACATGAAAAAAATAAGCTAAAGGATAAACAAATAAAAAACAGATTTGAAAAAAGAAAAGGCTCAGGAAAGAAAAAGAGTGAAAGTGTAAGAAAGAAAGAGGAAAAGAAGGAAAACTGAAAAAGAATGACTTCCAACTTTCTTTGGTAGAGATATAAGTAAAAAAAAAATCAAACTCTTACTCTAAGATTAACATTTGTCTACATTATTTTCATAATCCCTTATTTAATCATCACAGCCCAGATCAACTTTTAATTTCAGTTTCTCATAAAAAATCCAGTAATGTTTCATATTGCTTTAATCACTATTTGTTAACAAAACCACAACTGATTTATTTAATTGCACCAAACTCTAAATAAAACAGTGTAGACCCATGCTGCTCAAATCTGGCAACTTTAAGGTGCATGGACTTTAATTCCCAGAATTCCGCCCATCTTAAACTTGCCATGACTTAAAAACGCTGGTCTACAGATTGGGATTTTTCCATTCCTCTTTTACTGGTTCCTACTTACTTAAGAGCAATCATAATGCAAAATCCCCATTCCTGACTCACCCCACAGTAATGATAATGCAAAATCTTTATTCTTTGTTTTGGGTCTGGAAGGCCGCCTGTGCAACCCCCACCTGTGCCCCGTTTTGGGCCTGGAAGGCCTCCTGCACCACTGTGGAAGCCAAATCAGGGCGCGCGGAGGACTCCCGGGAGGGGTGGAGAGGGGCCAGCCAGAGGTGGGATTAGCTGGTTCTCCGAACTGGGCAAAAAGTTAACAACCGGTTCACCTGAACTGGTGAGAACCGGCTGAATCCCACCTATTGTTTGCTTCTTGATTGTTAGTTTAATGTTAATCTTGGTGTTAATCTCTGGTCATCAGCATGTTGATTGCCAGTGAGGTGATGGTTATGTCTTTCTTGTTCACTTTTTGGCTGCTTGTCTCTTGAATGGGATGTAGATATTGTTTATGCCTATGTGCTTGTTGATGGCCAGTTTAGTAGAGTGCCAGATTTCCAGGAATTCTCTGATTTTTTATGGACTTGGCTTCGTCTATGATGGTCACAGTTTCCCTGTAGAAACTATGGTTAAGTCTGTCCTTGTATTGTGAAATTAAGGAGTTTTTATCATGTTTTCTGATTGCTAGGTGATGTTCATCGATGCGCTCTGTTAGTCTTCTGCCTGTTTGTCCTACAAAGTGGCTGTTTGCAGTCCTTGCACTGAATGTTATAGATGACTCCTCTTTTTCTTCTGGGATTCTGAGTCTTAAGATGTTTTAGAGCAAGGGTGTCAAACTTGTGGGCCGGATGCGTCATGAGCTGGCCACCCCCACCCCCGGTTTAGTGAAGGGGGAAAAAGTTGTGATACATCACGTGACGACAATGTGACATCATGAGTTTGACACCCATGTTTTTGAGGGCTTTAGTTGGTTTGTGTGCTACGTTGATGTCATGTGGTTGTAATAACCTGTTGGTGATTTCTGATATGGTTTTGATGTATGGCAGTGTTATGTTTTTATAGCTCGTGTTGATTGTGCTATATTAAGTTGAATGTTCAAGCACTTTTTGATGAAGTTATGTAGGTATCCATTTTGTTGGAAGATAGATCATCTGTTTTCTTTTTCTGATGTTCAGGTTGCTGCAGTGTGTTCGTGCTCATCTAAATACTGTTCTTACACAGCTCTTCTTGTGAGAGGTTGCGTTGTTAGTTTGGTAGTGGAGCACTGTTGGTGTAGGTGGTTTTACTATAGACTTCTATTTCTAGTTTGCCATCGCTGTCTCTACTGATGAGACGATCTAGGAAGGATAGCATGTTGTTTTTTTCTTTCCTTAATAATTTTTCCCTTTTTAATCCCATATGTTTGTGATTTCTGCTTTTTTGGTAATTGATCTGCTTTTTAAATCTTAGTTTTGGCTAACTACATATATTTGACTGGTTAAATACATTGAAATTATCCCTCAAGTAAATTTACATAGCTTCTGTATATAGTATGTAGTATAGTTAGTTTCTGGATAATAGCTTGGATAGGGTGATTAAAATAATCAACTCCCATATTAAAGATAGATTATCACCACTGCGTTTAAGACAAAGATTATTCTTCTTTTTAGTTTCAAGAATGGCAAAAAATTCTACACTCTAGTCGTTCATTCATAATTCACTTAGACATGCTCCTGAAAGACTATTTAAGATCCAGGGTAGGGTAGGGTAGGATAGGGTAGTGTATTGTGATATAGTGTTAAAAACAGGTCAACAACTTCTGATCCCAGAGTTTACTGGGTGATTCTTGGATAGTCACATACTCTGGATTTTTGTAGTGATCACATCACAACACTGTGTAGGTACTCTGCTCTGAACTCTGGGAAAGACAGCAATATTTAAAAGGGGTGGGGAGAGTAGAGGGAACAGGGTATGTGCAAAAAACTATAATACAAATTCTTGTAATTATGGAATTTCTGTTCTGTTTGTAACATTAATTAACAATGATGAATATTCTACAATGGATTCCTGATTTATAATAACAAATATCTGAAGTGTAGTGCAGATATGTTTTACTCAGTAATTAAAACTAGGTGTTCTTCAGTTTGATTTGGCTTCTGAGATTGCTACATTCAGGCATATTTCATTCAAGCATATTTTTATGGGGTTCGGTGATTAAGTTTAATTATGGGGTTCTGCCAATTATAGAGGTATCCTAAGAGTCCAACAGTTTGATCAAAATGTCAACGTAAGCACTGCAACTTCATGATGCAAGCTCTGCCCCTAACATATATCTAACATTGTGATGAAAATAGAACGTTTGGTTATTTTATTTATGTATTTATTAAATTGGTATGCCGCCCATCTCACTAGAGTCTAAGTGACTGTAATGGTAATGGTAAAAATGGCAGAGTTTTCATTGTGGTTTGTTGTGTGCTGTCCTCACTCTGAATTTATGACTGACTCTCTGTGTGTAAACTACTAGGGTGCAACCATTGAGATTTTTATTTTGTTTTATTTTGTCTCCAGGTCCAGTGCTAAGTTGCGAAGCTGCTACTCAAACAGACCGAAAACCACAGCTGGCTACTGTCATTTTGCGGAAAAGTCTGAGAGCAAAGGCTGTTGCACGCTCAAGGCCTCAGTCTTTAATAGACTACAAATCATATATAGATACTAAGCTTCTGGTAGCCAAATTCTTGGAGCAGTCCTCCTGCAACATGACACCTGACATACACGAACTAGTAGAAGACATCAAATCTGTCTTAAAATCAGATGAAGAGCACATGGAGGAAGCTATCACCAGTGCCAGTTTCCTCGAGCAGGTAAGATACAAACTCTTAAAACAGGTTGCAGCTCTGTTTGGGGAAGGAAAGGCCAGCTCAAAATGAGATTCAGTATACGTTGCTGTCTGGTGTTAGCTTTTTTTTCCCTTGGGAGAAGACAAGGTAATCTTTCATTCTAGTCTGCTAGTTACAGGTTTCTTCTTTAATTATAGTTATTCAATTTCTGTGAACCAGGTTAGTGAAGAAGGGCAGAAGTTAGTGGACCTTTTGTCCTTATTTAATGACTTATGTGTTGATTTTTAATTTTTTTCCTTCTCTCCAAATTAGTAGAAGCATATAGTACGTACTTAAGGAATAAATGTGATCTTATCCTATATTTGCACTATCCAGTTACTTTGCAGTTCTTAAGAGTGAAATAGGATTTTGTTTACTTAGTAAGTTAAAGGGAGAGGTAATACTTGTGGCTGAAGCTCTCCCCAAGTTTAGCTGGTCACATGAAGGGTCAGGTCAGCCCTTTGCAATGCTGTGCATGCTTGTCTATAGAACATGGAAATCTTCAGCTGACAAAGTAGAGAAAATATGGAGTTTGTCCTTCCAGAATTAGATCATCCCTCTTAGACTGACTGTTCTGGAAATCCATTATTTTTAAAAAAAATAAAAATAAAAATATTTATGGGAAGAAACTAAAGAAAACTGAAGAAACTTACTGCTGATACTAAAGCACACTCACATACATATGCACGCAGACCCCAAAACCCTCTGCAGTTGGAGCAATATTCATTTGTGTCGTATCCATACTTTTGCATAGATTCACTTACGACTGAAGTCTTTCTAGCGAAATGGCTTAATTCCCAATCAAAAGGAAATACGGCCCAAACAGTATTAAAAACATGTCCTGATGGCTAAAGGATTCCACACCTAAGTTTTTAATGAAGTAGCCAGTTATTATATGAAGTCAGTTTTTTTTACATTTACTTTATTCAATTTCTATAGCCACCCACATCAGCCAAGTGACTCTGTTTTACAGTTCTAAAACAGCAAAAACATCTAAACAATAAATAAATACATACAGTAATCAAAATAGTTAACCAACTAATAGTAAAGTCAACAAACAGAGCCCTTAACACATTTGGAGCCCCACGCCCAAGTACAAGTCACATTTTTAAAGCCTTGCAAAAGGCCAATACAGTTGGGGCCATTCTAATCTCCAACGGGAGGATGTCCCATAGAGCAGTGGCCACTGCAGAAAAAGATCCTCTTCTGATCCCCAGAAGTCGACGCTCTTTGGCTGATGGGATCTGCAGCATGCCCAATCTGTTTTTAAAATTACATTTTAAGGCAGTTAACATTTTCTTTATCCTCACATTTCTTAGATAAAAATAGGTACGGCAGTTGACAGTGTAATGTTCTTTCTTTCCAAAGGTCATGACTCCTGCTCACTCAGCCATAACAGGAGCACACACACTGCCTTTCAGGAGGCACCCGGGACTTTTGCACTTGGAGAGCTGTGGAGATGTAAGTACTTTTACTGCAGCTGGAACCCGGGGTCCAGACAGGAGAACACAGCAGATGGAGCCAGAGCGGCCTCACAGTCTCATCGGAGTTGTCCGAGAAACAGTACTCTGAGCTCGATTGCTTTTTGGTCCTTCGTGGGGTGCAAAGACCAGAGCAGGAAAGCAGTTGGATGGAGGGGTCCTTAATCTATGTTTCTCACTTACTGTACTGCTGCTTTTGAAAGAGCATTTGAGGAAAAAAATGGAGTAAATTACTTCGAAGAAAACCACAGTGCATTATAAATAGAAATGAATCTCTGAATCAGAAAAGAAGGATATTCAGGTGGAGTTAGGATATATGAGGAACAGCTCTGTATTGTGAGATACAGGTAAAGAAGGAGGAGTTTTCTTTTTAAAAACAAATAATTGTTTCTACATAAACTTTTGAGTGTTGTCCCTGGTATGTGTGGGTTTCATTATAATGTTGTTTTATATTTGAAAGGGAATATAAGATTGAGATATTTACAGTATATGGAAGTGAAGTATGTATTCTCATTCATCGCTTTCCTTTTTGGTAATGTTGCACTACACATTATTTATCACGATAATTTTTTTAAAAAGTAAAAGAAGCTTTTAAAATGACATGTGGGGTGAACAGCGCTGTCACTTTACTATACTTAAAAGTGCTGCATGAACCTTCAGCTCTCATTTTTTATCACTTCAAGTGCAAAAGTGCTTAAAAGTAATAGGTCATTCAGGTATTCTGCTGCTGCTCTCAGCCCATAAACTACTCATTAATCTTGAAAAAATGGATGAATAAAAACAGAACAATGATACATTTTTCCAGGGCAGCTTTATTACCAAAATGATGATGGGAGAATGAGCAATCTTATGACAATGAGGAGGGCTGTGCATGCTTCAAAAATGATTCAAAAGAGCTTCAGACTGGAAGGAAGTGAGAAAATAGTACAGATGCTATTTATTCATGCAGCCTGAAAATAAAATGCCATTGATTTTAAAGGTTAACTCATAATCATCAATCCATTAAAGAGGTGGCCTCCTTTTTTGGGATCATGTAGAAGCCTGAAAAAAAAAAAAAAAGATTGCATTGGCTATCCAAAAATGCTAGGCTTCAGAAAGACTGAAGCACTTCTTGTGATATTTTCGAAGTGTGCATTACTCTCTAAATGTTTTATGGGAATGATTTTTTTCTCTGCTTAAAACATACAGATAAAATGTATTTTCATAATTTGTCTTAATTATTAGTAGGAATCCAGATGAGAAAAGGGGGGTTTTCTCTCTCCCTAAATCTTTGTTGACTCAAAATACATTCTGCACATTTCAAAACACTTGTCTGTAATGGAAGAAACTGGTGGTACCGGTAGGAGCCATTGCTACACATTTTTAGGTTTTTCCTTTCAGCTTCCTGAAATGCTGATAATCCAACTCTTCTTTTCCTCAAATTATTTGTCTTAATTCAGAAAATTAATAAACTGCATTTAATTTTGATTAAAATTATAAATGAAATAAAACACGTTCCGGTTTCTTTTTCTTGACATCATACATGACCTACTCAGTGGTGAAATCCAAATTTTATTACTACCGGTCCGGTGGGCGTGGTGTGGCTTGGTGGGCGTGGCAGGGGAAGGATACTGCAAAATATCCATTTCCACCCCACTCCTGGGGCAAGGATACTGCAAAATCCCCATTCCCACCCCACTCGGGGGCCAGCCAGAAGTGGTATTTGCCAGTTCTCCAAGCTTAAAATTTCCACTACCGGTTCTCCGAACTGCTCAAAATTTCCATTACCGGTTCTCTAGAACCTACTGGATTTCATCCCTGGACCTATTCTAATTTGTTTCCTCAGTGTCACTGATAGGCTATAGCAGGGTAGTAGACTTCTGGGCTTCAATTCCCAGGATTCCTCAGCTAGCCATGCTGGCTGGGGAATTCTGGGACTTGAAGTCGGTAAGTCTTAGAAGTTACCAAGGTTGAACAACCTTGGGCTAAAGCCTGTATTAGTGGTTCAGACCTCTCTTGAATTTATTTCATTGATAACTCCATCTGAAGCATGATTCAGTAAAATAATTACCTGTTTTCCACAGGAAAACCATGACTATAATTTTTTGGTGAGGGTTCAATGAAAGGTAATGCCTTGACTTCCATGACTAAATACAGTAAGAACACTTTAATAAAGGAAACAGACAAATAATCCTTCAAATTAACCCTTTTGTTGCCAATATTTACTTCACTATTTACAGTACATTCTGCCAATGATAGACAAGCTTCTTAAAATGTCACAAAATGTCCATACTTTATCTCTTAAAGCAGGTCCCAATGGGCCTTTCCATCTGTTTGAATAAAACAGATGCCCACAAGGTTGTTTCTTCAATTTTGGGGAAAGATGGAATGACATGGTACCATATTTGGATCTTATAGAAGATGAAGGTGGTGAAGTCCAACTTCACAGTTGCCTCTTAGATGACTTGTGAAGTGATGTCTAGTGTCATGTTCATTTATTTATTAAATTTATTTTCTGCCATCTCGTCACAACATTAAAACAATAAAACCATAAAAAATATACATATATATTTAAATACAATAAAATTATGGATTATGATTAAAAAATAGGAAGGGAAGGTGCAGAATGTATATGGAGGAGGTGGGATCATCTATTAATCTATCAACTATCCACACCAACTGCAGAGCCAAGTCTTCAGCTGGTCGCAGAAAGGGTGAAAGCCAATTTCACCAGGGTGATGGGGGCCTATTATATCAATAAAATGTTCCAAAGAACAGAAACCCTGACAGAGAAGGCTCTTCTGAATTCCCTGACTGATGGGGTCCACAGCATGCCTTCTCTGCCAGCACGGGTGGGGCAGGCCAGTCCCATTGGGATGAGACAACTCAAGTAGCCTGGACTCATGCCTTGTAGGGCTTAAAGGTGATAACACCTTGAATTGCATCTGGAAGCAGACTGGAAGCCTGTACGGCTCTTGGAACAGCAGTGTAGTCACTGTCCTGGCATCCCTTTTTGGAACTTGCAGCTCCATGAACCATGGAGACAGTCAGGAATAATGGGTCAAGAGAAGTCCTAAGCACGATCCTGTCCAAAACCCTCACCATTTGATTCCAGGTCACTGCTGGTTTCGGCAGGGACATGCTGCAAACCCTCCAGGATATTCCCCAGTTCTGTCTCGAATCCATTCAGATCCATCATTTGCTGGGGTCAAATGGTGGTGTGGCCCCGCCCTCTGAGCCTGTCCCATCGGAGGAAGAAAGCTCTGAGCATGAGGAAGAGGAGTCAGCCAGGCCTCCCTCTCCAGGCCCCTCCCCTCTGGCATTGTCTCAGGTGCCGGCCGAGGGAGAGGAGATTAGCAGGGAGACAGGTGGCTTGGATCAGAGTGACGAAGAAACATCATTCCTGGACGCACGCCTCCGAAGGCGTGATAAACGATTGCAGCAGCTTAGGAGGCGTGCTAGGGATTAGAACTGAGTCACTGGACCACACCCCAGAGACTATATAATAGAGGGTAGTGGTCAGGGATCCTTGTGGCGAATAAAACTAACCTTGGATAGTCACTAAAGCCTCGTTCGGAACTGCGGAGAGAAATAATTATTGTTGTCGGACATTTGGAAGCTGAGTATTTTATCTGTCTGTTTTTCTGTGAAAATAAAGGCACTTGGCAGACGGTGTGTCTTTTGCTGCCAAGTGGGAGATAAAGAAACTGGGTGCGTTCCAAAGTGTTTCCTTAACCCTCGGCTGGCTGTGTTTGTGTGTGTGTGTGGACGGGGACAGATCAAATGGGTCTGGCCTCCCCATGGAAGAGGGTGGCATAAGAGTCTCGAGGACACCAAGATGTGATCTGTTACAACAAGAAGATCATATCTGGTGTGTGACCACAGTCCCAAGATCTGAGAGAGTTGTGAGGTAAAGTTGATAGTGATGTTGATAGTTGTCAGATAAAGTTGGTAGTGTAAGGTTTCAATAAATCCTTATGAATATCTGCATTCTCAAAAAATTAGGAGCATGAAATTTTCCTGCCAAAGCATAGGTTTTAATTTGGGGATAGGTATGGTAAAGCTTATTGATGATATTCTGTGGCCTAATGCTTGGTTTCTGGATCTGTTTTTCATTGGCTATCATGAAGCTGTGAAGAAATTCGTTATTTTCATTCTCACTACTGCATTTGTAGCAGGGTTCCAGCTCTCACACAATAGCAACACAATCTTTTGTCAAGTAACTTCCGGTCAAATGAAGCGAAAAGAATGTGTGCTAAAGAACATGGCAGAGATTCTAGTGCATCAGAACTGCCAGCTTAAAATATTGAAGACGTCCCTTTTCACTCAACCCTATTTTTGAGCAATATTGATTGAAAATACAGCCATATTTTAAAGTATGAGGCATGCTAGATTTCATAGAAATTGGTACAGGGAATGTTGGGGTGGTATTCCCCATTTTTGATGTTTTAAAATTATATGATACAACATTTATAGATTTTTCTGATGAGAACATTGCTAAATTGCAAATGTTTCCAATAGCTGGAGGGTGGCACGATGGCTCAGTGGTTTAGACACTGGGCTTGTCAGCTCAAAGGCTAGCTGCCCAGGTTTGAGACCAGGGTGGACTAGTAAAAAGGCTGGGGATGCGGCAGTGACACAAGATGAGGGACGTGGTGGGCAGCAGGTGAATGGATGCCCGTTAACAGGTGCTGCCATGATAGATCTGAAATGACAGGTGCTCTTTAAATGTAAAGACTCATTCTTGCTGGTAGTTAGAATCCTTAATAATATTATTTGCAAAAAAAATGAAGGTTTCCTATTTAGCTAGCAGAACTTAGATTCAGTGAATGAGTGTACCAAAAATGTAAATATTGCAGAATATACAGCCTCATGCTACATAACTAAGCTCCATTTCATGCTAAATAAGCTAAATTATTGTTTCTTACATAGAAAACTATCTTTAGGTAGATTGTTACTCCAAAATAAATTTGATAAAAATAAAAAAATCCAATTTAAATTGAAAATTCAATTTAAATTAAAAAATCAGATTTAAATAAAAAAAATCAATTTTTTTTAAAAAAATCCATTTTTATCCACCGTGTTTGAGACACGAGTGTCAAGTGACGGGGTTTGTTCCCATCCTCACCCCAGCTCCTACCAGCCTAGCAGTTTGAAAGTATGCAAATGCAAGTAGATAAATAAGTACACTATGGTGGGAAGGTAACAGCACTCTGACATTGTGTTAACCACAAGACCGGAAATATCTTCAGACGGTGCTGGCTCAATGGCCTTGAAACAAAGATGAGCATCATGTCCTATAGTCGGCAATAACTAGTGGAGTAAAATCCAGAGATACTCCTTTACCAGTAGCTGGAGAAACGTATAGTATTGTTATAGCAAGCTATTTGCTGAATTGATTTTAGAGATTTGTGGCAAAAGTGTATGGAATGTACTTCCCAGTCTTTTCCAGTTCTTGCTTTATCATGTGAGCGAGCTAATGCAAACCAAACATATTATGCACAAGGTGGGGTGAACACCGTCCCTGCCTCAAATTTCTCTGCTTGGGTGATTTTCAGAGTAGTACAGAAGAATTTGTAGAACACCTGACAAAGTCACTCAGATCTGTTTCCAGTTGGAATCCATGTGTGGTGCAGGTCCATTAGAGATCCTTGGGGAAGGCTCTTACTCAGCTATTTAGGAACAGTTTGATCCTGATGGACCCGACAAAGGGGGCAGGGTCCTTGATGCTGTCAATGCAACCACCTGCCAATTATTTCCCTGCCCTTCTTGGCTGGTGAAAGTTTTTTGTTTGGTGACTACCAGTGTTGTGGCCTGCTGGCAGTTGACTCGGACGGTGAAGTTGGGAAGGAACTTGGGACAGTTCTGGAGTCTGGAAAAGGCTCTGATGGATGCTCTGCAGTGGACACAAAAATAGAGCCAGGGCCATCCGACATTTCCCAGCCACTGGAGAGGCAGCTGCCTTTGGAGGCTGATATGAGTGAGGAGGAAGAACAGCTGGGACCTGTTCCAGATGCATGTATGCACAGAGCAGTTAGGAGAGGTAAACAACGGAGGACAAGGACTCGGGAAGCAAAGCACAGGTGGACGCTGAATGGCCCCTCCCTGGCTGGGGAATAAATAGAAGGAAAGGGGAGTGGTTGTCGTAGGAGACAACAGTTCCTATTTCTGAAGATTTTGCTCATTGTGTTTCATGCCACAAAGACTGCTTGCCAGAACTTAATTTTCAGCCTTTCAGCTGGGAGCTCACGGCCTTGCAATTATCACAAGGAACTGGTAAGGTCTGTTACTGCAGTTAACTCCTTGAAGGATTATTGCCTGGACTTTTCGGTGGGTGAACGCAATTAATTCACAAGAGGTAAATAAAGAAGGCTTTTTCGTGACAAGGAGTCTGTTTCTTGCTTCTGCTAAGGCTAGGTCAGAACAGCCGGATGGGTTCAGGCGGTGATGAATTCTTCACTGCAGGGGGGGACATTCTGGGGATTTTTTCAAAGAACCCACTTATCCA